TATAGTAGTAGTAGGCACTCATGAGGGTTCGTTCGCCGGGTTGACTCGGCATGATTACGACAGGCTCGGCTCATTAATCTTCGTGTCACGTTCGCTTTCCTTGAAATCGCATTCAATGTTCAAACGTGCCATGTCACTACGGTGGCTCGCACTTTGGACTATAGGACACTGTCAGCTTTAGGCCTCTATGCACCGAATCGCGATGCCGGAGCCCCAGCTTGCTGCATAGTTACATGGCCCGTCGGTCGGGCAGTCAACCATCCTCATTTCGACAAAACGGGATTTCTAACCCCGACTTCTCCGACGGGCAGTCTCCTGTGCCTGGCATGGCCCAGTGATGCCCAGTGCTGTGTCTGTCTTGGAGCCGAGCGTCTGGCATTTTACCATGCAAGTCATACAGAATTCGGGTGCATCCCAGAAGGGAAGTGAACAACGGGACGAATATCGATTGCGCTTGATGCGTTGTTCAACGCTTTGTAAACCCCAACCTCATGCAGCTACCGCGTCTGATCTTAGCGAGCCTGGCAGCGTGGTCGTCGGCCTTCATCTGCGTGGCAGGAAGGGCGGGTCGGCGACACTGGACAGTCTGTTCGCTGGTCAGCCCGTTACCTGAGCCGTCTCCTTGTTCGAAGCAGCACCATCCCCTCAAGTGGCACAGCACGCGCCGTGGTAGCCTCAAAAGCACACAACCCTCTGGTATCCAGTCTTCCTGGAACATGCCGAAGACAATGAAGCAAGACGAGACAAAGGCCTGTGGTCAAACATGGAAAGCCCGGTCGCGCTTGACTCGTTCACGTGGACGTCTTTTCCGTTGCAGTGAGGTAACCTCCTCGAAGGCGATGGGCAAGAAACAGGCAAAGTAGGAAACAGAAACGCATCTTGGGCTTAACAAGCCATCATCTCCCAGCTCCTCACTCTTCAAGCGCTTGACTATCGGGTTTGTCGCCAGACTTGTCATGCGTCTCTCAGGCCATCGAGAATGATCAAAACACCTCTGACACGCGTCCGCGGGATGTAAAGTGCGTCTGGTTTCTTGATGGCTGTTTGCGATGAACAGCCACCACAAGGCTGCCGACCAAGGGGACGAAGTTCAGCAAGACAGCTCACCGTCTAATCAGGAGGAACCTGCGGCGTCGGCGAACCAACGATAGAGCTCCGACAAAGGAAGGGAGGGCAGGGGCAGCTCTCGGTGTGCAAGGCAAGTAAAAGTAAGTAGACCGCAGCAAGGGCGATTTAGCCCAATTTGCCTTTTTGACTTTAGTCTCTTGGTAGGTTAGCTTTTAGGTCGACAGATGGCGCGGACAGTGAACCCCGAGTGGTCGTTTCTCCAGGTCCGAGAGCGCTGGCTGCTTGCTTTCCAGACCCCCTCAACAACAGACGATATGGTTATCGCAACGCTACGCTGCATACTACCTCTCTAGCCCCCACCCCAGCTTCAGCAATGCTAGTCATGCGAACTCAACCCCCGCCTTTCCCAAGGTTCCCATCAAAAGTTAACCGCACCAAAGCTGTCACGCCCGCCAAGAAAGGATACTCTGCCACTCGCATCACAAACGCTTTTTTCCATCTTGTAGGCAGTGGGCGGTCCTGGGGGTTGTCCCAAAAGGGCAAACCGGATAGAAGAGGCCCCTCTCCGGCCCCGAACCTTCAGTACTCCCGGATTGAAGCCGAGTTGCCGACCACCCTACCGATTTCGACCTCGTCACTTCTGTCGTGCAGAAATACAACGGCGTTTCCCAACTTATAAACGCCCCACCGGTCACCTCAACCATCCAATGTCCATGCAAGGCGCAAAGGCTACGCCAAACAAGCAAGGAGCACAGACAACTATAAACTTCCACGGTCGTCCCATGCAACCATCTGCGGCACTGCCTCCGATAGAGAGTACCTTGAAGTAAGTCTGGACCTGTGCGACATGCTCCGCAGTCCTTCCTGGTGGCGGTGGTGGGCTCTCACATGGCGGAGCAATAAGCAGAAACAACAAAGGAGGGGCCCAGAATCTCGTGTACGTCATGTTCCCCCCCTCCACCGCGTCGGTGTCTTCTCACCTCAACACACCCAGACAAGCCAATGACAAAGACGGAGACCACAAGTCGTCCGGTTCTCGACTGGCTTGTTTCAGGATTGCAGCCTTGGCAAAGGGCTGCGGCATCTTAGGGTGACTACTATCCCAGGGATTGTATTGGAATACTCCTACCTTGTCTCGTGGCTGCTGCTGGACGCGTGTGTTCTTGTTACACAGAGAAGTGTTCAAGCTGGTCGCACCTATGACCAGGAATCGGGGAATAGGTCGATATAGGATATGCATGCCAGATACGAGACCGGGCACACGTAAACCCCCTTAAAACCAGGGAGCCGAGTCACCCTCATCCTCCGTCATCCGCCAGACCCTGTGCGGCGATATCCGGTTTGTCGCGAAGCTGTTGCCCAAACGCAACATCTGCCAGACATACACCACACATCTGTGCGTTCCACTATTGAATATACCAATGCAGGATTGGTGAGTGTCAGAGAACAAGGCCATTATGGTGCTTCGTATCTGCAGCCTTGCGCAAGAATGCCACGTAGTTCCTGTTGCCAACGGTCCCGATGTCGATTGAACCTGCCATTGCCATTCCTACTGCCGTCCGGGAGCTGCTCCCCAGCCATCAGATTCCCGTTCCTTGACAAAAGGTTGTCGGTGAAAGAAGCCCCCCCCTCTCCTTCATATGCCCCACGCACAAAGAAAAACGACCCAGGGAAGAAGGTATGTAATTGCGGGAGAGATCCGATGAAAGCCCCTTCCACCAAAGGCGGGATGCCGGCTCAGGCCGTCGGCTTCTAGGATTCCCCGGGGAGCAACTTGTTCCATATGCTTGGACGTGGATCTCAAGCCCCCTTACCTTGCGCAGTCGAAGAAATTGCGTGTACTTCATTCCGACGAATGGAGGCCGTCGGTCGTTGTCAAGTCCCGGGAGATTTCCCGAGAAGCTGGCGGAGCGAGTCTCTATGGGCACATCTTATAGAGCACGCTACCCGTATTTACATATCAAAGAGCGAGCTACGCCCATGGGGGGTTGTTGGCTGAGTTGCCACAAGGTATCTCGTCACCGCTGAAGAAAGCCCGTACGTCTCTGGAAAGGCTGGAATGAGAGGCCACCCCTCCGGGAGCGGTAGAAGCATTGCCGGCGCACAAGCCGGCCCAGGTGAACATCGTCGGGCACAATGCCAACACCCACCACGGCAGCCGGCTCGGACGACGTCGAGATATACCCGAGCCGGGCAGAAGGTGACAACCGCTGGTGTCCGGCTGACTAACATAGCATATCCCAGGTGTGTGTTGCGAACCACAGGTCCCCCATTTTCCAAATTTGCGTGATCGGGTCCGCTTTCGGTGGCTTCTCGAGTTTGGGACACGACTCCCTATCTCCTTACGGCCAACTATCTTAGACGCATTTGTCACTAGGACGGATGCGCTCGGTTCGTGGGGTCTTGTGACTATTACAATGTCAATGGCGGAAGTAAGGGCCATAAGAGGGGCATCGGTGGGAACCCCTCCCCTGCGCAACTCCTCATGTGGCGATGTCAAGACGCCGGAGCAAAAGACGCAATAGATGACGACGGCACCGTCCCATCTTTGGTCTACTACCGCCATCCGGCGGCGAAGTGTCCGCGATTCCTATCACATTCATCAAACGGGGAGCGTAAGGGAAGGGGACAGGGGCAAACAGTGTAGGCTAGGTATCGTAGGGTAGGGACCTCCAAGAACCTCCCCAACCAAGAGGTGTCAACATAGATAGGAGACGTCATTTCTCTAGATAATGTTTTTTTATTTTTACAAAAGTGTCTCCTCTTCTCCTTTCTGGTACACTCGCCATATCGAACCATCCTCAAGAAATCTCAACTACCAGGTACACTCGCCATATCGAACCATCCTCAAGAAATCTCAACAAATCCATGCTGCTCGCCCTCTTTCTCCGTCATACCCTTCTCCTAGGCAACCACCCCCCTAAATCAAAGGAACTCGAAAACTTTTCCATCACGCGAAAACACTTTCTCTACAGAACCACCAGAACGTGCATCTGGACTACCTGGACAAGAAGCCTGAAGGAAGGAGAAGAAGAAAAGAAAAGAAAAGAAAAGCCCTGAAACGTAGGTCAACAATAGAGAATGGATCTAGGCATCATTGGGTTCGTCATGACAAGGAAGAAAGCAGAACGTATGAAGCAGATATTTGGGAGAGGGACAGCAAAGCAGCTCGATGTAACCTCCTTAGCAATATCTGTAACGGGTAAAAGGAACGTCCAGGGCCAACTTCGGCCCGTAATCGAGTGAGACAAGGGGTGTTGTCGGGAGAACATGCCGCTCAGAAAGAAAACCACCACACCTAGATAAGAACCTCACCTGTGAAAGCCTCTCCCGGCCATCCCTCCCTGAACACCATATCTGAAAAACCGGAGCCTTCCATCAAATCAGACATGAGAAGTAAACAAAAGTCGCAGACGCCAAGACACATAACCCCCCGCCACCGAAAGGAAAGCCCACAAGGGCAGAATGGATAGAGACTTGTTGGAGGAACTTCTTGAATTCGAGAAAAAGGCGAAGCTGTAGAAACCACGGAGGGCTGGCTCGTCCCACGTTGGGTCGTCACTCGCTGGCCCCTACGCCGCCCGCAGAACTCTCCCACCTCTGCTTCCCAACACACGCCCGCAAGCATAGCTGGGAAACAGGAGATAGCTGGAAAACCTCGACGATCCACAATAGCACCTCGCAAACCCGTCCCCCTTAACGATGTACCGACTCAACCCAGATCAAGTGTGCTCAGTCCTATCAATACTATAACCATAGAGTTCAAACACCGACAAGTTTTTTATGGATTTCCTCCTGTCCTTTGGCCCGACCAGACGTCCGACGAGAAGAGGGTATAGCGACGGCTAGACAGCCAACAATGAGAATTACAAGGATTACGGGGAAGGGTTGAGAGGTGCGGGGAAACCTTGAAAAGGCAGTTGCCCACAACCCTACTGCGAGTAGTACACCATTCCAGGGGCTGGTTGTTGGTAATAGAACCCGTCGGGACTCGGCGTCACCATCCCGCCCATACCGCTTACACCAGGGCCAAACTGAGGAGGGGGTTGGTAGCCCTGGTAGGCGTTCATGGGTGGCATCTGAGTGGCATCGTAATAGTACACCATGCCATTGACCTCCTGGGCAACCAAGTTGGGCCCGGTGGGTACCTGTCCGTTTGCCTGGGCAGCCGCGGGGTCCGGCTGAGTCTGGTGAGGATAACCCTGACCTTGGCCCGGCTGTCCCGAGGGGGCGAATGACGTAGGGGCGGCCGGCGGACCCATGTTGCTGTTGTACTGTCCGGGGTAATAGTACGGCGGCGGCGGCGGCGGCTGTTGCTGCTGCTGCTGCATCATAGGATAGGGCTGGTTGTAAAAGTTCTGTTGCTGGAAGGTGTTCGGCTGGAAAGGAGCAGCGTGGATCGCCCTCTCTGGGATTTGCGACAGGGGTGTGCCAGTGGAATGCTGCGTGGGATACGACGGCTGCCGCGAGTGGGCGTCCTGAGGATGGCCATTGGAGACTTGAACGGGGACCTGCTGGTGGAATGCTTGCTGGAAAGCTTGCGGACCTTGGTTGAGGGTTGGCGACTCGATGTTGGTGACCGATACGGCCTTTTGAGGGCGAGGCTGGTGCATGGGTATCTGGGTCTGACGGTTCTCCTGGAATGCAGGCTTCTGGGGCAATGGGTGCGTCTGCGGCTGCGGCAAATCATTGATGGACGTCTCGTTCTGCTGCATAGGCATGGGCATCGGCACATGGTAGCTATCCTGCCCCATGAACGGCTGGTTCGCGGGCGGCAGGCGAACGATGGGCCTTGGGTTATCGACGGGGATCGGAGCTCGCGACATGACAGACCCCGTAGGCGAGAACAAATAATCCCGCCCGTCCGGTGCCAGTGAAGAGCGCCTACTAAGGGCGACACTCGGGGAGTATGCACTGCCGTAGTAGCTTCCGCCGAAGACACTGGTCCGCCTAGAGAAACCGCCCATGGAGCCAAGACCAGAGCGAGGCTTGCCCCGGGTCCGCTGCTGGTTGGGTCGCATCGCTCGGGGGATAAAGATGAAGGATCGGTCGACGGCAGGGAAGATGTATTTGGGCGGGTTGTCGGGCAAGGAGATGCGGACGGGCTTATCACGACGAAGGGGCGGCCGGTGATCAGGAAGCTTGGTGTACTGTTTGACGGGCATTGCAAAAGCAGACGGAGCTTTATCGACGATGGGGAGAGAGACCCTAACCTGCACGTTGCCGATGTGTCGCTCGGTAGACAATGTCCTGTTGATGGGGGTAGGGTTCGACGGGCAGGTTGGGATGAAGCCATTGCCGTTGGCCGGGCCTTCAGTATCGACGGGCAGATGCCTGGGTTGTCTCGATGGCGGCGGTTCGGCAACGGCCTCGTGCATATCATGTGCCCACTGGCCACTCGTCAGGGGATCAGTCGGACTGTGCAGTTGGCTGCTCGGGTTAGCCGGATGATGACGGGAAGGCTCTTGTTGGGCGTACTTCATCGGTGCATAGGGGCCCCCGATGCCTCCGCCACGGCCACGTCCTCGGCCTCTCCCGAAAGGTCGGAAGCCATTGGCAGAGGGTCCGGCATGGCGGTGGTCGTGCATGAAGAAGGCCCCTCTGTTGGGGACGAAGGCGGGGTCCTCGTCCCTTCTCCGCTTGTATTCTTCGTGTTCCCGGCGACGACGTTCATTGACAGGCTCCGCCAAGCGTGACGAGTGGGAGCTCACAACGAGAGGTGCAGACGACTTGGGAGGGGATGCAGCGGCATCGGCTTGTCCCTGTTGGGCGGGTTCGGGGCGGTCGCTGATAGATAAGCCCTGGAGCATCTCGTCGGCATCGGACGCGACCTTGTCGGTCGTCTGGGAGCCCAAGGCCGAGGCGCTCCGGACGGTAGGCTTCGCATTTCCATTTCCATTTCCATGTCCGGCTGCCTTCCGAGGGTTGGGGGCGACGGGGGAGGCCTCATCGATATTGCTTGTGTCGCTGTCGTTGCCGTGGTCGTGGTCATCGCTGACGATGGAACCCTCGGTCAGAGAGTCATCATCGAGATCGAGCTGGTCGGGTCCACCTTCTCCGTCCTCCTCGTCCTCGATGCGTCTTCTATGACCAATCTTTCTGCGTCGGGGGGCGGCCATGGTGAAGCTTGCTGGGAGCTAGCTACCTAAACCTCTTTCTCGGGGTTGATGAGCTGACAGGGGGCGGGCGATGCTCAGGTTGACGACGACGGAGAGAGCAGGCTCGAGGAGCTAAGGAAGCGGATGGGTGTCGAGGCAATCATGCGATGCTTGGCCGGGGGTCGGCTGAATGGAAGAGATGGAAAAGCAAGTACCGCTCTGCGGTTGGTTAAGAATGAGGGCGATGGAGCAAACAGACGGCCAAGAAAGACGTATTAAATAAAATACAACCGCGGAAGCAGTAGCAGCAGCAGCAGCACAGCTTCGTTGTGCAGTGGTGGGGAGAGCAAAGCAGCAGAGCGGAAGAGCAAAAAAAACCGCAATGCCGTGCACTAGCTGAGCTTGAACCCGCGTCGTCTCCTCTGACCTCTCTGCTTCTAATGAAAGAGCAGACGAAGGGGAAGTCTGGGATATGAGGAGGAGGAGGGCTTGGGGTGCGAGGAGGAATCGCAGGGGGGGTGGAGAGATGGTGATGGTGATAGAAAGGGAAGGGAGGGAATTCGGCCAGACGACGTAAAAGACAAGACGGACGAATGACGGAGACGGGGCCACCTCGCAGACACCAGTCCGACCCAGGAGGAGGAGCAGCAGCAGCAGCGGCGGCGGCAGCGGCAACAAGAGGGACGGGATTGTGGTGTTATTTTTATTTTATTTTTATTTTTCGCTTCTTTATTTATTGCTTCCCCCTGGCCCGTGGCTGGAGGAGCTGCTGAGGCACACACCCACACGCCGCACCACCACCACCACCACCACCACAAGCACGCCAACGCCAACGCCCGCTGTGTTGGCCGGTTGGGCGCCCGTGTTCCCTCCCCCTCCCCCCAAATTTCAAACCCTCCCAGCACATTCTCAGCCAGTAGGATGCCCTCCTTGAACCGGCTCACCGGCGTGCGACGCTGTTTTGGGGCCGCTTTGGGGGCCTGGACCGGCTGGCCGTGCCCGCTGTGGAGAGTAGAACAGCCCACTAAAGAAGAAGAAAATTCCCGCCCTCTCCTCTTTGCAGAGAGCTGCGAGAGGTGCGGTGGGTGCTCTGAACAGAAACTTGGGACCTTCCGGCCTGGCCTGACTTCCAATAATAACCTCTCTACCAATCCGGGGTCATCGCGGAGCTCGGCAGTCCCACTTTTTGATTTGTTTCGTCAAGGGCAGGCTCAACCCGTCCATCATATCATCATCTCAGTAATGCTGTAGATATGCTGTAGGTAGTGCAATTGCTTGTCTTCTTTTCTTTTTTTCTCCCCTGCACATGCATGCATCCTCAGCGTCCAGAGACCTCGCGTCGTGGGATTCCCACCGATCTGGGTAGGATCTGGCTTGACTTTTTCGGCATACGATATGTTAACCTACCAGCCAGCGTTCCCACCAATACTGATGCCGCGCCTGTAGCCTGACACTTTCCAATTTTCGGGATGATTCCGTGTCAAGTCCCGGACGCTGGGACGGCCCAGGATCAGGCAGGCCGGCACCCAAACCCTGTTTGTCGTGCTCACTATGCTTCTCGCCATCCTTGGGATGGGATGACGACTATCCATTCGGGATCGAATAAACCTAGACCAGAGCCCAGAACCGAGGATACCAATCCGCCGTTATCGTTGACGGGCGGCGACCCTATTCGCCATGGCGATCAACAGAGGAAGATTCCAAATGTTTAAGGGCCCCGAGGCTCTTTTATGAAATTGAGTCTATGGAGAGCAGCATTCTTCGCAAGCTTGGCAAAACCCTCAAGGTCTCATTCACAGAGTATACAGGACATTCCCAACCGTAGTGGTCCGTCAGTCATGACATTTCACATTTGCGACTACGACGTAAGCATACAGACAAACGAGCGTGTATATATAATAAGGGTGAAGTGTTGCGCATCTCGGGACTAGACACGCAAGCTGCTCCTCGTAGGGATTATCCACTCACCGTATCATTTCCTATCCAGAACAAGCCACTAACTGGCACTTACGCATGTCGAGATACGCTGAAAATACCTAAACCAAGGACATGCCATTGCCGAGGTCGGAGTCTCCATATCCGGCGCCTTCCGATCCTTGCAATATTCACCCGCATGAGCAGCCGGCGATGTATTGGGCGTGCAAGACGATTGCTAAAATGTGTGTTCGTAATCATAAAAGGCGATATTTCAATCTATACCAGCTAGGATACACCTCAGAATCTGGTCTGATGACTCGGAATCAACCCGTCCGCCACAACTTGATCCCAGGCATATAAGTGTTCGATATTTCACTCCTCCGATTTCAGGACGATGAAGGTTGAAGATTCTGCGTCTTCTCGATTTTAGGCACACATCCGAATCTCGTATTTCCTTGGTCCCAAATCTACCACAAGTTAGCATCATCCCATCACACTATAGTCACGTTCATCACCAAAACTTACTGCATAAATTGACTTCAGGAACGCATCTCCTAGGATGTCGAACTCGTTAGAGCCTCGTGATTGCACGCCTCCGTACCAGAACCCGTCGCTAGCTGGTGCAAACGCCAGGTCCTCCTTTTGGATCACAAACTGCTTGTCACCAACAGCAACCTTGAACTCGGGAATGTCCTCGGCCTTGATGCTGGTGGGGAACACGTAGCCCTGCTGTTGTTCGTCGTACTTGGAGCCAGGAATCGCGTCGTACAAGGCCTGGCATACCTCGTCCGAGACGAGGGCCAAAGTTGTTCCAGTGTCCGCGATGGCCTTGTTTCCGCTCTGCGCGACAGGCTTGCCGTTGACGCTTGCCGATTCCGAGGAGAACATCCAGAACCCCTGCGTGCTGTCGATATCAACCCAATGGATATCCTCACCGGAAGCCTCAACGAGCTCCGTGTCGATCCACCCAAACGTGTAAAACGACTGCGGCTTGCTTTCATCGCGCTCGCTGTAGAACGCTGATGTAAACAACTCTGCTTCCTTGGGAATATCGCTCTGCGCGATCATATTATCGACTGGCGTAGCCTGCGGGTCCCGGGCGCCGCCTTTGCTATGCACCGTGTTGATGGAGCTGAAAGCGAGGCCAAGGAGACCGTCACCTGTTCCCTGTGAGAACTGCGGGGCCAGCTGCGCGGCGAGCTCGATGACCTGGTTTTCGACCGTCAGCCCGCCGAGGACGAGGTTGTCGGTACCGCAATCGCCCGACGCCGAGCTGCCATCGCCGTACGAGATCTTCCACGTCTTGCCCTCGAGCTTCTTGAAAGTCGAGGACTCGGAGGGATCGAACACGTTATGATTGCGTTGGAGGGAACTGCTGAGCTCCTTTGAGAACACCTAGCATAGTATTAGTGACCGACGGGAAGGGACACATTGATCAGAGTATTACCCAGAGGTCGGAGGACCCCGTGTCAAAATCCAGTTTGAACTTCTGCGGTGGTGTTCCGATAGAAACCTCGCAGAGATACATGGAGTCATACTGCTGGTCCTCGGCGGTGACTTCTCCGTGCTTGTCACCCTCGGTCTTTTTCACCAGAACCTTGCTCATGGAGACTCGACCGCCTACTGGCGCGTCGAAGCCAGGGGCGGCAAGTCCCCTTTGGGCCATTCTTCGTGTCTGAACATACGGACCAGGTTTCGTCGGCTCAAACTTGAACTTGTTCAGAAGATAGACATAAGACTTTCGGCCATGGCGGTTGTAGTTCTTGTTTGGCACCACAGGAATCTTGGTGAGACCCTTGTCCGCCTTGAACTTGGCTTGGGCTTGAAAAAATGCTTGCATTTTGGACATGTGATTTAATAAAACCCGAGTTGCGTAGGTGGTAGTAAATTGTTAGGGCTGTTAGTCGAGAAGAGTTGAGCTCTCGATCTGGCGGATTCAGGACGACGACTAGATACATATTCATTTTGGTAAGAGAAGCGGGAATGACGCCTCGGAAGACCGGCATCAGATGAATCTGGGTTGTTGGAAATCAATGCGTGATAGCCGCGAGTAAACCTGCTTGACAAGCGCTTGTAGAGAGTTAAGGAGGAGCTGCCACTTAGGAGGTGGGGCGTCAATCCTACACTGGCATCTCGAAGGCCATATAAAAAGCTGTCGTTTCGTTGAGGACGTTTCAGCTGAACAGGGCCGGGATCAAGCTGTATCTTGTCATGGGAGGGCATCATGCCGGCAGTTGAAGTGTAACAGCCTTGAGCAAGATAGGGGAGGTGGGGCGTTGCAACTGCAAGCTTGAAACGGATCTTCGCGACAGTGCTTAGGACCTTTAGCCTGTGCCCTCTAGCTTTTGTGAGGGGGATGATAATAATTTGGACCTCGGCCCAGCCCGATGAGGCAGTTGGGAAAGAAGCAGAGGGGGTGTCCAATTCGCTGGCGAGGTCTACGTTGAACCGACTTAAGCTAAATAATGAAATGCTGCTTCGATGAGCGAGTCGAAGTGATGCTACCGACTCGCTGCGAGGCAGGTTTACAAACTTGAAGATCCTCTAATTTGCAGCATCAGTCGGTTGAAATCTACGGGTTGGCATGTGTAAAACATTACCAGAAAGTTACGATATCTACATCGTATGGTTTTCATCTGAGCGATTTGGTGTGACCGAGCAAATCAGCCAAGAGATGGTGTCTCCCCCCGCTGGCGATGATGTAAGGGACAGCTGCACGGTGACTCGAGGACAGGGGTGAGCTTAGCGGGCCATGTCCCGTCTTGGCGTCGATCGACTCTAGACTCTTGAATACCCTGCACGAGCGCGTTACAAGGGCTGGGAAGAATACGAGGTCTTCTGTTGACGCCGAGGTATCCCGTTTGCTACTAGTCAAATGTTTTCTATCCCGGCTTGCCATGACAGTGACAATGGTCGCACTCGATTGGAGAGCTGATAGCAAGAGAAAAGGGTGTGTGACGTAGATGCGGTGTTAAGTCGGGTTCGCACGACCCGCGGCTGGCGATAACGAAGTCACCTCTCTATTGGGAAACCGCCAGCTTCGACGAGCAGATAGCCAATAGTAAATGACTTGAAGTCATCATACTAGAACAGGCTCGCATGATGTTTGCCATCTGGGATTCAAAGAATGTTGGTAGAGTTGAGCTGAACCTTTCCAAAGGTGAAACCGCGGACACCATTGCTGAGCCAGCATGGCTCTCCATCCACAACGCTGCCGGCTGTGACCTCCTCCTCCACAGCCAGACAACTACCCAAGTTAGTCCGGATTCCATCTATCAAATCGAGACATGCTGGATACAGAGCCTATGACTCACCGTTCAAGGGCCCATCTGCGGGTGGTCCCGTCTTGCCCGCCGCTGCCATTCTCCGGGATGTACTTGGTAGATACCGGTGGAGTGACCCACCGGCCATTTCTCCAGAAGAATGGAGTGGTCAAGCTGCCCTCCATGATGTTGCCACTCTTCGAGTTGACGAGGAGCACTTCCTTGCGATCCGTTGGGGCGATACTCTCGCGGTCTCGCGCGGTGTCATACATGGCCCGCTTTGTTGTCTTGTAGTGGGTGTACTCTGATTGTGGAGTCTCCGTTTTGTCAATCACCACCTCCATGGGGGAATCCTCTAACGGATCTCCAGCCTGCTGGGAGCTTCCTGGCGGCGGGAGCCGCTGCGGGAAAAGGTTCTCCAGAGGCACCGCGGGAACGCTTGATGCTTCGCAGCTGAGACTCCCTTCCGAGCTCAGTATGACCTTGACTCTCAGAGCACTTTCCTTCCCGTGCTGGGCCAAGAAAGACTCAATCGCCTCAGTCAGCCTTTGTAGACCGGCCGCGCCCCAGAGAGTCTCAATGGCAAGGGTCCAATTCCAGTAAGTGGCAGCTCGCAGCATCCGATCCCGGTGAAGATCCAGCATGTAAAAGGAGGAGGTCATTCTGGCGTTCCACCCCGCATTGACGAGGCGTCTCTTGGGTACAGTGAGTAGCTCTGGGTCATATCGTAGAGACGTGAATAGCTGGAAGTCGTCGTTAGACATCATGACAACAAAGAGCCGTCGTAGAGGCAATGTTGGATGATCTTGTAGACTGATGAGTAGCAGGAAGTTCTTATGGCGGACGATGGTCTGATAGCCAAGAGGGAAGAGGTAATTTTTCAGTTGTAATAGCGATTCGGAGCCTTTTCAAGATTCGGATCAGAGGAGCGGCAGGTTTATGAACTCCAGATGTGAAACCTAGAAGAGATAATGCAGTAGTCGCTTCAGGTTCGAAGGATTCACCGAGTAAACAACGGTTGATGACAATTAAAGCCCTCCAGGCGGGAAAAATGTTGCGCCAGAAAGATCTGCCGCGGTGATTACATAAGGAAGCCACACTGCTTGATGCCTGCCACTCTCGATAGTCGTATTGCCTTACGTCTGATCAAGAATCAAGAACAACAATGCTATAAGCTTATGAGGCAACAGACGAGATGCGTCAATCTCATGTCACGAGAGGCCCTCTTCCATTGGACATTGCGAGAATTCATGAAGACAACACCTGAGCAAGTGGTAAATTTGATACGTAAGGGGATATGCGAAGGCCATGTCGTTGTTTGGAAAACCAGCATCAAAACACTGACCCAGCAGAAGAAAAGCAAACCTACCCGGATTATTACTATATTGAGCAAGATCCTTTCCTTTGTTTGAATTGATCGGTGTATCAATGTCGGATCCACATCACACAACGATATGCGAAGTTAGTCACATGCTATGTATGGGCGTGACTGCAACGTCCAATATCCTAAGCCCTTCTATGAGCAATTAGTCGCGATGGAGGTTGCCAGCTCAGTTGTTGAGCACCAATCTAGACGTAACCCGACTTATTCGTAGCCCGATTAGCCCCAACAATGAAGTTCAAAAGAAGGGTATTGTACGCCTGGCGTACGAGTAACACCTGGCATAGCCGAGAAAGCTATGCAAGCCGAGTTCATTGTCGGCATTAGTCCCCATGTCGAAAGTTTTATCCTTCCTCAATTCAGCGATGCAGAGTTGATAGAACCGTGATGAAAGATGCAGTGATAAATAGGGAACCATCTGTCTTAGCTGCTTGTTTCTCCCATGGGTTTCCATCTCTTATTGCCTACTCTGCTACTAATAACCCTGTCGTTATTTTGTTATGTTACAATAGTATCGAGAAGAGGCACGTCAGCCGACGATTGGCGTTTGTCTCTACTTGACATTGGTATGATGTGCCCAATCGCGGCGACTAAAAGTGCTGAACAAGCAAAATAAGACAGCCAAGACTAGCATCTTGCAGCCAGGTTTTGTTTTGTTTTGTTTCGTTTCCTTTGAATACCAAGTGAACCACGACTCGACTCGTTCTGAGTGCAAATATAGCACCTCGGGCACTTGCAAATGTTGAATTAGAGAGAACCGAAGGGAGGGCCAGAATTTGGTGCTAGAAGGACCGCCACTTAAGAGGTGCCGCCTACCTACCTTACCTACCTACCCTGATAAAGTACCTGTACACTTCCACCACACTGTGGCTGACCAACACATCCCTGCTCCGAGGACGTCGTGGACCCTCTTTGGTTACGTAGTGTGCAGCTTTTAGGTGGCTATCCCTTGCGACCCCACTCTAAAATCGCCTGACGCAAGCTGATTTGGTGAATGACAGCAAGCTGATCAGAGACAACTGCCCGGAAAAACTCCTCACGAGCTTCCCCGTCGCGCAATAATTTTTCGTCTGCGGCTACCGCTCGGAAGCTCCTGGCCCAGCGCATCCGCAACAGCAACACCGCCTACCAACTTGCAGCTCTTGCAACCCTCTACATCATCGACCAAGCTGGTCTGTCCATTAATTCCCTTCCTTTCAATCCCGCGACTTTTCTTTCAGCAATCCTCTTGATACCTTGCTTCTCTTTGACCAATTGCTTCGGCCAATTGCTAAAATGTCGAATCCTCTGCCGTCCGTGCCTCCCATGGCCAGTCCTCCGACTGTCATTCCCGTTGATTCGTCTTCTGGCCTTTGGGATCGCATCACCACCTGGGCCGCGGACAACAAGGCCGTTGTTTACACTGCCGCCGGTGTCGCCGTCGTCGCTACTGGCGCCGGTGTCATCTACTTCCTCAACAGCGACTCCGTACGTCATCCATTCCATCTCCTTACCGCGATGCCTGTCGTCATGCGATCCAATTTTTCTTCTTCTTTTCCAGCCGTTCTTACCGAGATCTTGGCGCACCTTGCCAGCGCTGGATCGTTCTCTGCAAGATTGAAACTTCTGCAAGATTGAAACTAACGACTGCTACGAATGCAGAAGAAGGACTCGACACCAAAGCTGAGCAAGAAGGAGAGGAGGAAAAGAAAGGAGGCCGAACGGAAGGCTGCCGAGACAGAGAAGCAGCCCACACCTGCAGAGGCTGCAGCTTCTACGCAATCTAAGGCCGCTGCCGTCGAGACCGCCGATGAACTTCCCGAGATCGATGAGACCACTGTTGCGAGCTTCACCGCAGACCAGCGAGAGCGGTACGCCGCCAAGCTGAAGGACGTGGGTAACCAGGCCTACGGTAGCAAGGACTACAACAAGGCCATCGAACTTTACTCGAAGGCGATTCTATGCAAAGCCAACCCCATCTTTTACTCTAACCGTGCCGCCTGCTACAATGCCCTGGGCAACTGGGACAAGGTTGTCGAAGACACGACCGCCGCCATCAACCTCGACCCCGAATACGTCAAGGCCTTGAACCGCCGAGCCAATGCCTACGAGCACCTCAAAATGTATGGCGAGGCCCTGCTCGACTTCACAGCCTCCTGTATCATCGACAGCTTCAAAAACGAGAGCAGCGCACAGGCTGTCGAACGTCTGCTCAAGAAGTTTGCCGAGCAGAAGGCCCAGGAGATGATGGCCGATCGTCCAAGCAAGCTGCCCAGCCACACGTTTGTCGGCAACTATCTCCAGAGCTTCCGCGTCAAGCCTCGCCCGGCCGGTCTGGAGGACTCTGCTATTCTGTCCGAGGACACGGGCAAGGGTCAGTTGCAGCTCGGCTTGAGGGCCTTGGAGAAGAAGACTGGCGATGGCTACGAGGAGGCGAGAGCCGCCTTCGAGAAGGCCCTGGAACTGGGCGAACTCGGCGAGTTTGAGGCTCTGGCCTACAACCTCCGCGGCACATTCAGTTGCCTGCTCGGAAAGCACGACGACGCCATGGCTGACCTGTCCAAGAGCATTGAGTTGGACCCCTCGATGACCCAGAGCTACATCAAGCGCGCTAGCATGAACCTCGAGCTCGGCGCCCCCGAGAAGGCTGCCGAGGACTTTGAGAAGGCCATGGAGCACAACAGCGAGGATCCCGATATTTACTACCACCGCGCCCAGCTGCACTTCATTAAGGGCGAGTTCTCGGACGCCGCTAAGGACTACCAGAAGTCGATTGATTTGGATCGCGACTTCATCTTTTCCCACATCCAGCTTGGTGTCACCCAGTACAAGATGGGTTCTATTGCATCGTCCATGTCGACCTTCCGTCGCTGCATCAAGAACTTCAAGGAAGTCCCCGATGTCTACAACTATTACGGTGAGTTGCTCCTCGACCAGGGCAACTTCCAGGAGGCCATCGAGAAGTTCGACAGTGCCATCGACATGGAGTCCAAGACGAAGCCCATGGCCATGAACGTTCTTCCTCTTATCAACAAGGCCCTCACCCTCTTCCAGTGGAAGCAGGACTTCGGCGAGGCCGAGAAGCTGTGCCAAAAGGCGCTCATCAGTAAGTGAAATATAGGCTCCCCGTTCGAATTCTACCGCTAACCTTGGGGTAGTCGATCCCGAATGCGACATTGCTGTTGCGACCATGGCCCAGCTCCTGTTGCAGCAGGGCAAAGTCACTGAGGCGCTCAAGTACTTTGAGCGTGCCGCAGAGCTCGCCCGCACCGAGGGCGAAATCGTCAACGCTCTGTCCTACGCCGAGGCGACGCGCACGCAGCTTCAGGTACAGGAGAAGTATCCGAAGCTTGCGGCCAAGCTCCAGGGCATCGGCCCAGGTGGCATGCCCCGGTAAATGACCTATCAAGGTAACAAGCAGCATGTAAAACTCACCCACTGGTGTCGTGTAAGAAGAGCGAAGCACAGCTCCCAAGTACATGGGGGAGCGGGTAGCCTGGACGATTGGTGTCCCGGTTGGTAATAGGGGAAAATATCAGAGCGGGCAAGTCGCCCGTTCGTTGTGACGTGTGTTTTTTGTTGGCTGGGCGAAGGGGGCTTTGGGATAGGAAGGAGAGTGAAGTCCAGGGCTACAAACGGCAAGGAGGCATGGGACGAACCCTTTACGTTGTACATACACCGACTTCCCTCACTTTACGTACATTGGTGAGAGCATTGTAGAACTAGTCTATTGTCATTTGTAACCATTTCCACCCCTCTATTTCTCTTATCTTTCTAGAGCGCATTCCGTGTTCAGCAAGCATCTCCCGTTTTTGAATGTCTTGGGTGTCTAAGAATGTACCCTTGCTCATCCATCGATCGGCTTGCCACCAGCCTTCCTAGATAAATACACCCTAGGTAAGTAAGTATGCTTCTGCGAGCTGCTTCCTTCCCAATACTGTATGTAACAGGCCCCTTCTCAAGGCAAATACCACATACTACTTGCCTTAGTACTTGCCTTTCTGCATGTCTTCTACATCTGTCCTGGCTCACATGGATCCCTCCCGAAGATGGCTTCACCGCTGATGATAAGACGGCTCACTCACCTCACGCGCCCAAAGCCACCAAAATAGACAGCAACCGCGGGAGACTGGCAAAAGGGAAAGAGTGGACGATCTGGGAATCGAACCCAGGACCTACCGCAAGTCATGAACCATGCTAAGCGGTCATTATACCACTAAACCAATCGCCCCAACTGTCGTGATCTAGCCCGGACTTGAACCGGAGACCTTCAGTGTGCTGCAGCCGCGTCCGAGGTGAATCGTGACGACGGTTGTTAGACTGACGTGATAACCAACTACACCACCAGACCCGTACTTGTTGGAAGACGCAGGCAGGGGCAGACGGTTATTACGGAGGGACGATGGGGGCCGCTGGTCTCTAGGGCAGGGCTTTGGGAGGGGGGTTTAGCGGGTCGAGTGCGGATGGAGGTTCTTGCATGTGATAGTGTGAGAAGTGGCATCGTGAGTGCAAATTTTTGTTGGTGGGGGAGGAGGGCCTCGCGGAGGACCGGGGTGGCGGCCGGACCAACCTGGGGGGCTACGCTCGAGTCTAGACCGGCCGGGTTTCTCGCATGGCTGCCATGGCTTGAGGAAGAAGAGATGTTGACCGCCAGGGCCGGTGGGCCGGGATGCGGCAAGTTGTAGGTTTTTTTTATATAAAAAAACGGGTTCACTAGGGAGCTCTTGGAGACAAGGGCAAGATAGGGCCACGAATATAGTGATGCAAGTTCGTAACTAGGTAGTCGCTATTGTGCGATACGTACAAGGAAATAATACTGGCTTCCCTTCCTCTCCGCCTGTCCAATGGACGAGGGGAAGGAAACGCCCTGAATAAATACAGGTATAAGGTATAGCCCCCCCCGATTTGTCTGATCGTATGAAGAGTATGCCATAAGTCAATCATTGATGGGGAATCGAGGAGCTCGCCGTGTACTAAGACGCGGCCAAGTCATGGCTAAGTCGTGGCTTCGTCGAAGGTGGGCAGAATTTTGTGTGCGTATGTCCTGATTAGTGCCTCCCTTCCGGCGGAGCCATCGTCATGAAATCTAAATATTCGTCGTGCTTCTCTTTCGAATTGCTGTCCCTTTCCGTCATGCTGGAGCGGGTCGAGACCCGGCTCCGTCCTCAGATTACTTTCTCCTGGGTGTCGCGATGCCAATCTCGAAGAGTGTCGCGCGGCAACCTGCTTATTGGCCAGTCGCCTTATTGGTAGTATTCCTGGTCAAGGTGACACCCAGACCGACGCCCAGTGCGATGGCGATGATGATGAGCACGACAACGAGCAGGCACCACCACTTGAGCTTTCTGCGCCTCCTGGCGTGCTTGTTGGCTGTTTCAACCTCTTCGTTGCCCTTTTGGATGTTTTCTACAGTCTGTTGGGCATTCTGCTCAGCGGCTTCAACGACAGGCTCCTGTGCCTCAACAAGCGTGGCCATTTCTTGGTAGAGCGTAGCCAATTCGATGAGCGTCTTCTCAATGCGCTGCAGTTCGTTGTGACGGGCCCTGACATTACCCAGGATGGAGTTGGCCTGACCTGTCCGGTTCGATTTGAGCTGTTGGCGATATCAGCACAGCGACGTGGGCGAGCCGAAAAAATTCGGCCAAAAGGGACACTCTAAAGCTTACCGCTTCCTGGAAGACACCTTCATTGCCCCAGTCCATCTGCGTCGCCTCCTCGACCTCGGCTTCCGTCGCATCCGGGTGGACAATACGGAACTGGCGGGCGATCTGGTCGCGGTAACGGCGCTGGTAGTCCTGCTCAATCTGCTGGTACTTTGTGAGTTCGGACTTGAAAGTGTTCTTTAGCGAGTTGAGCTGGGCGGTCTTGGTCGCGCGCGACCCGTCCCGTGTTTTGGCCAGGTCCTTTTCGAGGGCCTTGATGCCGTCCTTTACAGCCGTGTTGCGCAGTTGGGTCGCGGAGACGGCCTGCTCAAGCTGGTAGCTGGCGCTGTTGTCGGGAGAGGAGAGTGAACGCTGGTGGAGTTGGGCAATATTCTCGATATCAGAAGTGAGGCCCTGGATCTCCGAGCGCAGGTATTGCACGCGCTGGAGAAAGTCTTGCTGGCTCATGACTATAGGCGCGGGCTGCTCGGCGTACTTGTCCGTCTCTCCGTAAGGCTGCATTTCGTACTGGCCTTGGCCATATTGCGACTGTTGGAAGCGTCAGCGTTGCGACATGGGATTTGCGCTTTCACGCCGGAGCAAGACAGTGAGCAATTGAGAGGGGGACAGACCTGCTGGTTGTCGTAGCCATACCCGCCCTCAGCCTGGGGGCCTTGGGCGTAGGGGTTTTGGTTATACTGTTGGTATGACATCTTGACTTAGAAGATACTATCGATACGATAGCAGACAGCGCGTTTCGAGCCACCCCAGCTTGATTGCTGAAGTGTGAATGGGTTGGGAGGATTTGGGCCTCTCGTGAGGGTGTGTTGTGGTGGTGCGAAAAAGAGGATATTTTGGCTGATGTCTGGTCGCCTGGTTAAATGACGTTGGACTTCCGGGCGCTGACAGGAACCGGGAAGTGCTGGAAAGACGCTGGAAAGACAGTGAGTATGGACCCAATCAGGAACTGGGACCAGTCAGAGCGGATGCCCCGGGCTGTGTTCGTGGTTGGATGGAGGCGCTCGTGAACGGGCGCAAGTGGGTAAGATTGGCCGATCTGCTTTCCGGGGTCCCTACACTAGGTACTTTTTCTTTCCCACCAGAGAGAAACAAGCCAGACGGGAGGGAAACAAACAATCAAAACAAAACAAACAAGCTTCGGAAACGAGAGCTCTTTCCGAGTTGAGACGCTCTTTAATGCACCTCCTCACACACGCTTTCCAAGATGTCTGGTGAGAGGGCAAGTCGGTCAAAGACAGAAGTGATGAAAGCGAACGCAGGGTCAGTGACATCAGAGCATGTTGTAACGACGGGCGGGGCGAAGGTTATTATTATACAAAAGTACGGAGTACACGAGACGCATTGCTTTTTCATCTCTGTTGCGGTGTCCGTAGGGGCCCCTTAGTGTCTCACGCACCTGGCTTGGTCCGACGGCGGTACGGAAGGCTGGCTCGAGCCCCTCGCACCTCACGTTGGTCCGCATGTGCCTGCCTACTATGTATCCTGTCTTCCATCTCTCCCGCTTGGGAGCGTGGGAGCTTGCCCAGCCATCTTGCCCAGCCATCTTGCTGCCGAACAGGTGACGAATGACAGCCTTGCCAAACGGTGAGGGAGTTTGAGATGGACTGAGTAGCGGCGGTGGCACATGTGATCGCCAACCCCGCTGAAAGAAAGAAAAAAAAAAAAAAGCCACCGTGAACGGGTTTGCGGCCTCCGATGCTCGTGGTTTTCTTCGTCAACGAATTGACTGTCGCCTTGCCGCCTAACGGTGCAAGGTGCAAAAGAGCTCTCGGCTCGTCAGCTGCGGAAAGCTTCGCCACCTTGTGGCTGTGCGTACATATCGCCCATTCTGCTTATCCTCAGCGATCTAAGCCCCCCAGTTCTCGCGCAATAACAGCATGCAGTGAGGGAGGGCAGGGTCTGCACTGTACACGCACTCCCATGACAATTACCCACATCGCCTTGCTTCCGCCCCAGAACGAAAGACATACCCGTACATTTACACGAGACTACAATTGTGTTGCGCGTATGGTGGGGCACTTGAACAGGTGATTCTCAAGCAGCCCGCTGGATCAATTCATTATCCCATGTTTAACTTTGTCCATGGAGGGCTGGGGTGGCCATCGCGAACACGCTGCAGCTTATTGAACATTGCCCATTGGTTCATGATGGCCGTTGCCCAAAAGCTCATCCAACGGTTTCTCTGTTACGATAGGTAGCCCCGGATTTGCCCAACCATGTTCAACGAGGTAGGACAAAGCTTGCGTCAAACTTGGTCTAAGGACGACAAGAATCACGCAAAACCCAATCTATAGACGAGTAGTTTCTGTCGTCATTTGAAGTACCTAGCCACAAGTCGAACTCATTAGCTAGATCTGGTTATGGCCACGACTGACACCCCAAGCCACAATATGCGTGTGGCTGGAGTTTTGGACTAGGTGGGGTGGTTTGGAGAGGCGGCTTCGTCTTATCGATAAGGAAAAAGTTTGGGCGGGTCGGCGGGCGATAGATCGCGAAATCGATCACTTCATACCGCACCGCCGTCTAACAAACCGCCCAAGCTTTGCCGCAGCAATTAGTGCGGACGCAAGACCTACGTCTTCAACCATTTACGAGTCTCCTTCTTTCAAGAAAACCACAACGTTCCCAACGGTTTCGAACATCGACGCCACATAGCGACCTCCACCCTAACGACTCTCAGCAACACCGTTCACGATGATTCGCAAACAGGCGCGACAGCGCCGCGACTATCTCTACAGGAAGGCGCAGATGTTGAAGGACGCAGAAACAAGCGAGAAGCGTGCCAAGTTGCGTTCCGCGCTCGCCGCCGGAAAACCGCTCGATCCCGAAATCGCACGAGACAAGACGCTTCGCAAGGATTTCCAGTATGATCAGGCCAAGCCAGAGCTTAGTGTACAGGAGGAGATGGACTTGGACGACGAATACTCAATGCTGAGCGGCATTTCAGAGCCAAGAGTCCTTGTCACGACCTCGAGAGATTGTTCCAGCCGCCTCGCCGCCTTTTCCAAGGAAATAAGGTTGCTCCTGCCGTATGTCAACCGTTTGCCTCTATCCTTGGTTTCACCAAGCTGATCTAAAGTCATGTAGGACATCCGTACGCCTTAATCGTGG